AATAAAATTGAATTGAATTGAATAATCGGCAGCGAATCGTTGTGACGTCACGCCAGTCGCACGACTACCATCCGACCTGTTGCAGACTTGGTCTCACATCCTATTGGCAGGGCTAAAAATAAAATCCGATACTGCTACTTTCAGATCACTAACTTGTGGAAAATCAAGCGAGAAGAATGTACATTTTGTTTTCACCAAGGCTCTCGTTATTGCAATTTATTTAAAAACCTACCGGTCGTAGTTAGTTTACTGCGAAAGCTTCGGCGTTACATACAATTGTCTACAGGCCTACCAAGACGAACATGTAATTCCTTATCCCTTTGATTCTGCTTGCAAGAAGACCTGATAACTCCTTGCCTTCCAGCCATAAATAATTCACATGGTGTTCGGTGTCTTAAATGTACTCCGACGAAAAATGAGGCCCGCGTCAACATCACACGAATCGACACCCCGTTTCCAAAAATACCAAACCTCTGACCTCTGCCAAACATAGGGTGGCGAAACCGAACCACATTCTCACTCTTCCTGTCTCTCTTTCTCTTACTCTCCCACTCTAGATCTTGAACAAACTAGTATGTTTAAGAGCCTACATCTTTTAGCTTTACCCCCCCCCCCCCTTTCAGGTGAGAGTAAACGTTGTACAATGTAACTCCGTTCCATACAATCAATAATTCCCATTCAAATCAACATGTAATTCCTTTCACCCCCTACATTCATTTTTTTAAAGTTCTACGAGATAGATATGTTAAAAGAATCAAATTAGAAACGGGCTAGGGGGGGGGGCGTTTCCAAGTGCTATGACTTAAGAGGAGTGTCAATAATATCCCGTTTTTATACACAATTTCTTTTTGATGCTGCTTTGAAAACTTAGCTTGGGCTTGCATACAACCACCGTTGATCAGTTTTACTCCGCTGCTGTTTATGGTCTGAATACGGCAAGCCTTTTTTTTAACGTTTTTGCGGCAGATAACATTTAACCAGTAAGATTTATTAATGATATTTTGACCATGCTTCATAAACCTGTATAATAAATCTGCTGAAAATCTACCAAATGCTGCTATTTCTGTAGCTTATATCAACAATAGTATTTTCCAAAGTCACTGAAATTGTACATAAAAAGCCGACGATCACCGACGAGTAGATCTCTGGTTAGGTTGCGAAGAAATTTCGGAACTTATCATGAGAAAGCCATACCCTGTCGCGTCTCCTTGTAAAGTGAAATCGGAAGGCATAACAGTTAAAATAACAAACTTTTTGTGACTCTTCTTGACTTGGCTGCTATTTGATTGATGCCTCATGTCATCCAGGGAATTTCATTCACCCAATCTAGCCTATCGTAGAAAATGATTGGATACTCGTAGATGTATCCTGGGATAAAACTTTGTTCACATGGGGAGACAAATATGACATTTCAGGCAATAACTATACAGCTTTGTGATTAATTTGCTGTTGTAGTTCTTATTTTTCTGTGTGTGTGTGTGTGTGTGTGCGTGTGTGTGCGTGCGTGTGCGTGTGTGTGTGGAGTATGTGTGCGTGTGTATGTGTGTGTGTGTGCGTGTGCGTGTGTGTGTGAATGTCGAATGGCAAAACGTTCTGTAACAAACGGCGTGAAGCGTAATGTCGTGAAGCGAAATGTCGTATAATCAAACAGCTCCAAGGCTCTAAAGCACGCTTACCACTCCCCCTCTAAATAAAGGGGGGGGGGGGGGGGGGGTAGGGTCAATTTACAGTGCAAACGTCATAATTCATGCTGTGCGGCAAACATTCGATAACATAATGTTGTACTTCCTTCCTTCCTTCCCACGCAAGTTATTTTACGAGATTCTTTATTATTTTAATTCGATACGATATGTATCATGTGTCCTTTCACTTTCGCGCCAGTGTATATTTTTTCAGCAACGTAAAGGCACTATTAAAGGTAATACAAAGTTTTGGTATGGGGTCATGAATTTGGTTCAAATGAACATATAGGAGCATATGCGATCCTACAATACACAGTGATCGTTGTCGCGGTTGAAATCGAGTCTAAGGTGATGAAATTGTAAATAATAAACTCTTTATGTTGTATAGCGCCCTCTCAAGGTCAAGATATTGATTTAGCTGTAAAACAATGTTATTTGACTAAAATCGACCAATTTTCTATTACCATTTGGAATAAATATATCACAACTGCATATTCTGAGATTTTCATGGTCGCAGCTACCATCGTATGGCCGTAGGCGCTATTTGAAATTTATCAAAATTTACCGGGAGCACCGGTAAATTTTTATATTCAATTTTTCTCGAAAGCAGAAGTGTTTTAGGGGCCAATTTTTTTAGTGCTTATAATACATCCATAGGGGCATCCAAATATATCAACATTGTAAAGAATCACTATCCAGCCAATTTTCGAAAATTACCAAAACTTTGTAATACCTTTAAACTAGGTGAACATACATGGTGAAAACTCAGTCCGAATGGAGACGGAAGGCAAAGTTTGTGGCGTAACAATTAAATCGACAGCTCTAAAGTAATAACTGCACATATAATTCTTATGTTATATTCCTTCCCTTAGAGAAAGCTCATAAATTTCTCTCAAGAAAATACGAATATGTTTTCACTCATTTAAGCCAAATTGATGCTCACTACTACTTTCTTCACCGTGTCTAAATGTTGGAAAATACCTTGAACAGATCATGTCATTTGGAATGCAAACTATGAAATTCATAATTATGAGGGATAGTTGTAATTTTTTCAAGATCTTGTAAATGAATGATGAAGTGTGATCTGTGTGTATAAGGATAAAAAACCAGTCATTTTTGGAAACAGGTTAAAAGAAGCTCTTAAGCATTTATATTGTTTTGAGAAGCACATTTCCTAGATAAGATCAGAGATACTTCTAGATTTTCAACTGACAGAATAACGCTCAGAAGTTAACGGTAGTGAGATGACGACCATGACCGTTGGTGTAATATTCAATTATCTTTCAACGCTATCAATTTCAGACTTATTGCTTTGGATTTGTTGACAGGAGAAGGGTAGGGTTGCACTTGAGAAAGTTGATCAGGTCTGGGGTCGCCCCAGCTACTTGAATTTAAAACCAAGTTACATCAATAATCAATGTTGCGTCGTACCAAGAAGCTTCTTGGTCGTATATTCTAGTTTTATGACCAATGTCGCGTGGTAGAAGGAGGCACTCGTTTTCCCGAAGATTCATAAATCCGAAGGTTAATAATTCCGAAGGTTTGTAATTCCGAAAAAAGACACATGATTCAATGTCATTTTCCGAATTATGAACCTTCGGAATTATGAACCCTATTTCCATTATTGGAGTGACGAACTTGTAATTCATTTTCGGAATTATAAACCCCATTTTACCTTCGAAATTTTGAACCTTCAGAGTAACATGCCTTCGGAAAAAGAAAACATGTCACCGAAATTGAAATCGATGACGACAATATGCAATGCGATATGCATGTCAACGTAACCGCCTTCGGGGAGTTGATGACCTTACGGGTACAAAGGTCATGACCTAATCAAAGTGCATAGTCAGGGTAGGTCTTGAACATGATGATGTGAAACATTCATGACAGAGATACCGCGATGTTGTTTGAATAGTATAGGGATTGGGAGTAGAGTTTCGATGTTTATGATTTGCGCATGGTTGAAAGACTTCAAACAGACTCGAAAATACTTTTTATGTTCAATTCATTTTCGAGCTGTATTTTGTAACCAACAAACGTAACTTTTAATAAGTTTACCCAAATGGATTCAAATTTATTGTTGACGGTGGGGGTTCATTATGTTTTGTGTTGTTTTTATGCATTGGCGTAATAGGGTGGAGCCGTCGCCCCTACCTCAGCAGTTTGCGGGCCCATTACAAATTGTGACTGGGAATACTTTGATTCAGTATAATAGCATAGACTTTATAGATTGAAGAAAAATGGCTTAAAATCAACACTTGACATGGGGGAATAATACCCCCCCCCCCTTTCAATGAGGGCTGTCGTTGTCACCCATCAACGACAAGTAGTTCTTTTTGCTGAATCGGCAGGCTGGCTTTTAACCTTTGTCCTGTTACAATCAACATATATGTGTACGAAATATATTTAACAAAGTATCAGCAAATAGAGCGCAAATAGAGCGCCACATTAACAAGTGTGTTTGATTATTACTCCCCACAAATGAAATGAATGTTGCAAAGGTAGTCCCTGCATGAGAACCATTATAACGAAGAGGAAAGAGTTTGTCTGGATGGTTACCAAATCAAAATAAAATGGGAAATATACACTAATGCATACAGTAAAATGATGTCAACGTGATCGCTAAGATTTTCGGAAAGTCAACTCTGCGTCACACTTTCAAATGTGGAAACATTACGCTGACATATTACAGCGTATCCGGACACCTACCCCCTGGATATCCACCCCCTGGATAACCACCCCAGTCAACTACACCCTAGGACAACTGCCCCCTAGGGCAACCACCCTCTAGGACGACTATCCCCGGGACAACTACCCCGGACAACTACCCCCAGACAACTACCCCAAGGGCAACTACCCCCTAGGACAACTACCCCCGGACAACTACCCCCAGACGACGACCCCTAGGGCAACTACCCCTAGGATAGTTGTCCGGAAGTAGGTGTCCTAGAGGATGGTTGTCGTAAGGGGTAGTTGTGTGGGAGGTAGGCTGTCCGGGGAAGTTGTCCGGGGGTAATTGTCCTAGGGGAAGTTTTCCTGGGGGTAGTTGTCTGGGGATAGTTGTCCGGGGGTAGTTGTCCCGTGGGTAGTCGTCCTAGAGGGTGGTTGCCCTAGGGGGTAGTTTTCCCAGGGGGTAGTTGACTAGGGTGGTTATTCGGGCGTGTATGTCCAGGGGGTAGGTGTCCTAGAACCATATTACATAACCCACAAATTGATAGGCAACACAGTAGGGTATTGAAATTGTCCCTGTGTTAATTTTCTCGAAAGTCCTTGCGATAGTGTCATTTATCCTTTATTTAATTTGTTTCATACATGTAGGTATGTCTGCTGCCAAACTACTTCACGATCAGAATATAGATGTACTGGTACTGGAGGCACGGGATAGAGTCGGCGGCAGGACACACACGGTTAGGGTAAGTTGGAAGGCCAATGGGGGCGATGATAGCATATTTTGAATACAAGTTGGGAATGATATTACAACTTTTGAATGCAAGTGGGGGATCATATCAACTTTTGAATGCAAGTGGGGGAAGGATAGCAAGTTCTGAATGCAAGTTTGGAATGATAGCACATTCGAAATACAAGCGGGGATGATAACACTTTCTGAATGCAAGTGGGAGGGGGGGGGGTGACAAACAAATTTGAATGCAAGTCAGGCGATGATAGCAAATTCTGAGTGCAAGGGGAATTTGTATGACGATAATCGCCAATGAGTGAGCCGAAAACGATCAAGGGGGGCAAATAAACCTTCTTATGATAATGTTATGGTCATAGGTAGGCTACATGAGAAGCGAGACCAGGGCCTCGTAACAGTTTAGATTTGTTTTCCCCAGAAGTAATCGTATCTCCTTCAATCAATCGAAACTTTGAAACAACTAGTAACAATTAATTTTACCTAACAGATAGAAACAATGCATAGCAATATATACGATTAATTGCAACAAGATTGGAGATACAATTGGTTTTTACAATTGATTGTAAGTTAATTTTTTTCTGTTGCAAGGCCTAGTTGAACGCGCAGGTTAGGACGAAAATTCTTGTTAACAATAATTGATTATGACAGTGTTAAACTCTCACAATATATTCATTTCTGTTTTTGATCAGAACGATAAAGTTAAGTATGTGGACATCGGAGGGTCTTACGTGGGACCAACTCAGAACAGAGTCATCCGGCTAGCTGAGGAACTGGGCATCCAGAACTACAAGGTCTTCGACGAAGATGCCGCTCTACTCTCTCTCAATGTAGGTACAGAACATTGCATGAAGTAAGACCTCCGAACAGTGGCGTAGGAAAGGGGGTAGGGGCACGTGCCCCTTATTGAATGGCAACAAGAAATGGAAGAAAATGAAGAAAGGAAAATGGAGAAGAAAACGTGGTATACCTTTGATCCACAATTCCAAAAGACGCATCAAATTTAGTTTATATTAATATTAAATTGTGCCCCCTCTTACGAAATCCACCCCTACAGGGAAATCCTTCTGCACCCTTGCTTAGTCTGTGGACCACTTCCCCTGCCTGATGCCAGTATCCCCCATATGACTAAACCCACGCTACGCCACTGATTCAGATAAAGACCTGGGAAAAAGTTGAGGGCGTCATGCCCCCATATCCCATTCTATCGACGTCCCTGGACAAGATCTCTAAACACGCACACACACACACAAGAAGAGAAATGAAAACGGTATTGTTTCATGGCGTGACTTCAATAAATATCTTGTGATTTTGCGTTGTCATTATCAGATAAAATTGTATTCGAACTGTACTTTGACTCCTGCGGTTTTATTGCGTTTTGATGAGATGCTATATATCGTGATTTACATGTAGGATTAAACTTTTCAATGGACTCACATCAGAAGCAAGTAATAAAAGCATTCTGACAAATATGGATAAAATTAATCGTTCTACACAATATATATTATTCGATAGTCACAGAACGGTTAGAAAATATTAAATATTTGAGGGTAAGATCAAACAATGTATTATTAATCATATCACTCCCTCTCTCCCTCCCTCCCTATCTCTCTCTCCCTCTCTCTCTCTCTCTCTCTCTCGCCCTCCATCTCCCCCCTCTCTTTCTCTCCCTCTCCCTCTCTCATTTCTCTCCCTTCCACCTCTCTCTTCCTCTCTCTCGCTTGACAGGGGGGACGTAAGAAGTACTACTCCAGCATGCCCACCTCCTACAACCCCTTCGTCATGATGGATATTATACATTTCTGGAAGCAAGTCGATATACTCGGAGAACAGGTACATACTTCGTAGTTTGATTGCAAGAACATGTGCAGTATGTTCGAAGCCACAAGGGCGTTTTAACTATGTGCAAAATTATACCATGAAAAACCTTCTGGCTTCCCGAATACATCAGGGCCCCGTTACATAAAACTTACCATTGATGGTAACTATGCCATCAATGGCAACTACCATGGTAACAGGGCTCAACAGTCAATCAAAATCAAGGTTTTCATGGTAGTTACCATTGATGACAAAGTTACCATCAATGGGAAGTTTTGTGCAATGGGGCCCTGATCTAATTAGTAATGTATGTCAAACGTGCGACTTGTTCGAAAATAACAGGTTGTTATAGTAATGTGTTGCTGAAATATTATACTGGAAACAAACTTTTACAAATTGGAGATTTCTCTATATACATGTACATTACCTGGAGGACATCCCACTAGACCAAGAACCCACAAGGTCTCAAATTTGTCAGTAGACCCGCGAGACTGGCATTGTCGATCGATACAGTGGGCTTACTGTAGCCATCATTATTGTCGTAATTACCAAGTGTATGACTCATATTTATTATCTATATGATTCCCGTTGACAATATCACATTCCGAATCCGTTATCAATACACACACACAAATCAGCAGCAGCAACAACAATAAGACACCACAGTTCATCAAGTGCAAACATGAATTTTCGACCAATCACCGAGCGAACAAGCACCAGATTATGTCATCAATGCCAAATGCCATCCACCAATTTTGTTTATGCCATTCTTTTCCGAACAGATTCCAGTCGATGCACCATGGAATTCAGTCATGGCCGAAGAATGGGACAACATGACTACATCTGAATGGTTGGATAAGATCTGCTGGTTCTCCTATACCAAGAAGGTGGCCGAGGCCTTTGCCAGGACTGTCTTTGCGACGGAAACTCATAACATGTCCCTTCTCTTCTTCCTTTGGTACGTCAAGAATGGTGGAGGTAAGGATCATTATCGTTATTAGCATCTCCATTATCATCAACAGCAGCATCCCCGCCCTCTTCTTCTTCTTCCTGTTCTTCCTCTTCCAACTCTTCTTCCTCCTTCTTCTCTTCCCTTTCTCCCCCCCCCCTCCGCTCTTCATCCTCCGACGGTTCTTCCTCTTCCGTTTCCTCCTCCTCTACCTCCTCTTCTTCCTCCTACCCTTCCACCTCCTACTCTTCTGTGTCCTTCTTATCTTTCCATTTCTCTTCCTACCCTCGGCTCTTCCTCCTCCGGTTTCTCCTCTTCCTCTTCCTCCACCTCCTCTTCTTCCCCCTTCCCCCTTCCTCCACTTCCTCCTCTTCTTCATCTTCCGGTTCCTCCTCTTCCTCATCCTTTTCCTCCTCCTCCACCTCTTTTTCTTCCTCTTTCCCTGCTTCTAGCTTTCCCTCTTCCTCCTTCTCTTTCTCTTCTTTCTCCTCCAACAAACGTCAGTTTCATTTTTTTTGTAAATGGGAAGGCTCTCTCTGGTTTCTAACCTACTATGATACTTACTTTTCCATGAACCAATCTGCTGTTTCTTCGATGAACCAAACAAAAGCATACCCAGAAGATAATGATAAATGAATAAAAGGGAAAAATGATTCCTGAACTTTTTATGTACATCCCATTACACAATCATATTCAAATCATTTGCTTTCATTCTCATAACTTATAGTATGTAAAGTGGTAGTAACTCAGATTTGCTTTTTCTTCCTTCCTCTTTTTCACACAGGAATATACAGAATCATTTCAACAGAAAATGGGGGTCAGGTAAAATTACCATTCTGCAATTTTGTATATAATTATTTGGAATATTTTTATCCTAGCATGCACATTAGAAACTGTTATGATTTTAAATATGAATTATAATTCTGCGAACTGCTTAACTTTCTCTTGAAAATGTTTACAAAATATTAAAACAATGCAGAAAAAATCATACTTTTATCTACTACTACATGTATTAAACCGTTACACCAAGTTATAATGAAATACACCTTAAAATCAAAATCATCGTCTACATGTAAGTACAAGGGGAGGACTTTCATAGGCAAATTTCAATATACTTTTGTTATTATGTGATAATATTCTCCACTTTTCCCTCCATCAATATCCCATTCAATTTTGTATTTCTACCCACAGGAAAGGAAGCTGATTGGGGGCTCCCAGCAAATTAGCGAAGGAATAGCAGATAGACTTGGAGATGGTAAGCTTTAAATCTATTTCAGTCAAATCGATAATGAAATATCTCAATGATTATGGCAGGGGACCTTACTACGCTTTCAAAGGTGATATCCAACTTTTTCTTATAAATGGGTTTAAGTTGTCCATAAATTTATCTTAAACTGCTTTGAAATGTTATTAAAAACTTTGGACATTAAGATAAAAAAAACTTTTGGAGATTAAGATAATGTCAATGGATTGTTAAAGATTATTGTTGATATAAAAATACTGGGCAGTATTCCTTTGTGAGTTTGCAGTAAGGAAAATGCCAAAGTTACCTCTTAAAAAAATAAAATATAAGTACTAAACCTGAAATTGGTTATCTTACTGCTCTAAACACGTCTGATAATTATTTCGTCATGACCCCAAATGGATAATAGCACTTCCAAATAGAGATCTAATTATCAATTTTGATACCGTTTTGAGAAGAAATCTTAGGCAATTTTAATAGCCATTGTGCGTCACCTATTGAAACGTGCAAACATGACAATGAAGTATCACGTAATTTGAACATGATTGCTTTCTAAAATAAGCTATTAAAATCATCTTTGAGTTGATTTTTTATAAAATAAAATAGTTGCGATCTCGTTAAAGACATGATATGTGTCGTATTGTAAAGGCTATAGACAGGGTGTCAGTGACGCATTGCTTACGCCGAGGCTATCATTTGCTTAATGATAGTTGGTACATTGCGTCTTTTGAATTCGCACCATCAGGAAACATTCCATTTACGAGGTGACTTTTTTTAAAGTATGCCGGGTATAAACGCAGGAATAAATCACAAACCTTTTCCGTCATCCGGAAGTCTCCTTTGCCTTGTACTTTGACAAATGATTTTCAAGACATTGAATTCTGTTTCGCAATTTGCTCTTTTAATGGAGAACATTCTTATCTTTGTTTCACAAAAGAAAACCTTCACCTCGAGCATCCAGTAAAATCTATATCACAGGAAGGAACAGGAATCACTCTCACAACAGTCAGTGGCAAGACATTTGAGGTAAGAACTCTACCCCCGTATCCGATGGGAATGGGGGCGACCCTGTACTTTTGAGGGTCCCAAAGGGGAAGATGCGGGGCCAGTAGGAAGAGGGACATCGGAAACGATGCGTGCTTATGCATGAACGTCACCTCCTCTCTGTTTTGGCTTTGCTAATGTTTTCTTCTCTGATCGTGTATTATCCGTAGAACTTCATGTTCTTATCAGGTGTTTACAGAAGGGGCACTTATAAATTTTCACTTTTATTCTTAAAGAATTACTAAAGTATTTTCGAGGCCACCTCTCCACACCACATTATACCTACTTAACATTACGTTATTTCAAAAACTTAAGTTGACCCTACAAAATATCTAACTATTTATATCCGAAGCCCTATGATTTTAGTGACTGTGTGTTTGTTTTCCTTACGGTTTGGCTCAATTTGCGTTGGTTTATTTGAATCCTTTTTAAAGGAGCTACACAAAGAAAATTCACTAACAACTCATAATTAGAACAAATTACATATGGATGGAAAGATTTTCTCTTGAAAAACACGAACAATTTGATGAGAAATCATATAGATATCATGAAAAAGCGTAAATGCAATTTTTCAAGACCCTCCTTAGACCCCCCGAACGCCCCTGAACGTAAGTCAAACACACAAGCGTAGCGAGCTCTGAATTGTGACGTCACACACTGGACGAACAGCTCAGTGCCGTGTAGCAGTATGCAGCTAGCCAGCCGTGTCCTGTATGTGACGTCACAAATATTGACGCTCTACAAAGGACCGCTGAAGGCAGAAAATCTGGATCTCAAAACTAACATTTTTGAGAGTTGATTACTGCGGGCCCCAAACATATTTTGAAGAGAAGAATTGTTGTATTTGATCGGCAAGGCTTCCCCTTCGAAATGATATGAGTTTTGCATCAATTCAAAACACTTTTGATTCTTCGTGTGGCTACTTTAACTGTTGGGAGTAATTCAATACAATTTGTTACGTTTGATATGCCATGCAATTCCGACATGTTCTTTTCGTATTTTCGTTGTGTTGTTATAATATTTTATATGTATTCTTTCTTTTTGTTTTACTCAGGCAGACTATGTAATAAGCGCAGTACCTATGGCTCTGCTTGGAAAGATGTCATTCAATCCTCCACTATCACCACTCAAGAATCAGGTAAAATATTAGTGCTGTCTCTTAGAAAAAGAGCAGGTTTTCCTTTACATTAAAGCCCGTCTGCACTAGTTTGGCCAGGGGGATTAGACCTCCCTGCAAGGTCACTGACAGGTGGTTACCTCATCGAATTAGCTCTCAGTTAACATAGTTAACATGGTCACCGATTAGACATTGTTTGCTATATAGAGGGCGCAAGTAGCTATAAGTAGTGCAGTGGGGGCTTTAAGGGAAGGTTATATGGAGAATCAATGATACATTAGACTTCGATCTAAGTTTCATTTTTTTCTGAGGGAGGGGCATTCTGCAATATCCTAAAGTAGTAACATCGTTTATATTTTTTGGGTGAACCGATTTAATTTTTTTATTCTAAATATTCAGATAGTAAAGGGTAATTTACCAAATCAAAACTGAATTTGTTTTTTGGGGTTGTGTTCTTAATAAACCATCTTTATTTGTCATGGTAAAATTCAGTATAACAAGTCTATATAGGTCGCCAGCGCGAATGGTGCTGAATGGTGTTTTAATCTTGATCAACTTTATTCCATAACATGCAACTCTATCAGTGGTATTGCTACGGGAGCAAGGAACACTTGCCCATAAATCGAATAGATAGATAGAAGGCGAGTGAATAGGAAGTGAACAGAAGATGAAACAAGCTCCTCCAACCTCCCGTGACACACTTACCTCCCTCCCTCCCCCGCCCCCAATAGCTGGCCCCACACCCCACTGGCCTCTTTCATGTTTTCTTTTATTTTCCTTCTCGTACAAAGCTCAGCCAAAGAATTCCAATGGGATCGTGTATCAAGACGATGACGTACTATGAAAGACCTTTCTGGAGAGGTTTAAGTAAGTAAAAAAAAAAAAAAAAAAAAGACATGATGAATTAGCACAATATCAATGGAGTGTATTGGTATTCGACTTAAGCCGGAAAGAATACTTAATTTTACTTCACATATCAAGATCTTGGCTAGAACATACTTCTTTTCTTTTTGGAAGAAGATGCAGTCAAACCTGTCTTATAGTGGCCACCTTTCTAAGAAAGCCACCTGCGTATTTAGCATTTTGACTCCCTTGAGATAATGCGTGTTGCAGAATCTGTCTAAAGAGGCCACTTGCCTCAATGGCCACATTTTCCAGTTTCCTTTGGGTGACCACTGACCAACTAATAGGTAGCTTTGACTGCACCCTTGTTTTATAATGTGTACGTAATTATTCAGCATTTTCATTTTCATTTCAACGTATCCGAGTTTGTTTCCAGTGTTAATAATCACAAGAAGAATGATCATGATACAGATCGTACAGATAAGTTCTCTGAGAATTAGGCTATCAAAGTTTCCTCGATAAAACATGATTTCCTAACCAACTTACTAATGTCGACATTATCCTGACATAAGAAAACCGTCAGTCTGCTTGTATTTGGTTTAGAAGCTGAATGTTTTTACTCTCTCCTCAGGCTTCTCAGGTTTCATCTTGACTGATGACATCGTAGCTGCTACCATTGACGATACCAAACCCGATGGGAGCCTTGCTTGCCTTGTTGGGTAGGTATAGAGGGCGCTGTTGAATAGGGGACATCTATACACAGAGTTTGGCCAACCCCAATTCGATGCGTATGGCGACTACTGCTTTGTTGGGCAAGCACAAAACAAATGAATATACGTCATGTTGTGACCCAATGAAACCAAATTGGCCAAACTCTGTGTATAGATGGCTCTGGGGGACACAGCTAGTAGATTAACTCTGATAGGGGATAATGCCCATTGCGGTAGAGGCGTCATTTCCATTGCGTTGTTACTTGCGCTAATCAAACATGTGTGGGCCCATTACTAGTGCACACGCGATGGATTCCAAGCAATGCTTGCGCCGTTTATTTTGCGTTCACTTCTTGTACGATAGCACTCCCATAAGGCCCGTCAAAGGCTGCGCTATTTATTGACACGTTCCTACATCTGGCAAAAGACACCTAGTCAGTCGTAATGTGCCTTCAACAGCGTAGGGCCTACTATCTGCATGATTTTGCTGGTTCACCTACTGCGCACTTTTATTGACCTAGCTCCCGAACACATATCATCCCTTCTAATTTCATAATTCATAAGTTGTTCTGATGTACGTTCATCCATCTACAGTAATTAAAGAAACCCGAACTGTGGCCCCTTTCTCTTTAGAATTATTTCTCCTCATTACTGCATGCAAATCACCTTCAAGCATCGAAAAATAAACTTAACTTATTACTTACCTAATGCACAAAGTATCAATTTTAATTCCACTTTATTTAGAATTATATTTTATTGACTTAGTCAGGTTCGTACATTTTATGTCGAAAACATTTATTTGTAAATGTCTTGAGACACGTATTGTCATAAGTGTTATTAAATGTCGAATCTGCTCCTTTCACTAGATTTGTCAACGGAAAATTCGCCAGGAAATACTCATCAGCATCCGAGGAAGAAAGGTAAAGAGATCGTAATCATCGTTTGATTTTTAAAAGTCTATAATCGCATTACCCAGCTTTGTACGTTAACTTGACGCGATTCGGGACCCCGGCTCCCACTCCGGGAACGGAGGGACCGCATTCGTGTTCCCCAAATCTCCAGTAAAGGGGTACTTTTCACGCAAACAAAGTCTAGTTCGTAATACACAAACAAATCCGCCCGTATTGACTTTACACACATGACTAAGTGGGGGGTGGGGGGGGGGGGTTCAAGGGAGTGAACATGCATACGCGTACCCTAAATAACAATGAGTGGGGGGGGGGGGGGGAGGGGCGGGTTCGGGACTCGATTCGACTCGGGACGTGACTCATGCTGACTCGACACGTGACATGGGAGTCAAGCTACAACTCTGAATGTTTTGATAAAACCATTCAAGAATAGACTCGACTCGACTCGACTCGAAACTCGAATTTCATTGACTCATTTGCAAACATGTTATAATAATTTTCTTCATAAAAGAGCAAACTTGTAAAACTGAAAACTGAAAACAAACCGCTCCTAACTGAATCCGTATAATCTCTATTTCATAGGAAAATGCTAGTGGCCAAGTGCTATGCCAAAGTATTCGGGAGTGACGAAGCATTGAGAGTAAGTACTGACAATATGGATTAGTTTAGGTAACTCATTTTTATATGTACTCTTGGTTTTCTATTATTAGCCATATCTTTGATATTGTTCCGCAACATTTAAACAGACAATTATATAAACGATAAGGCTCATGTCTTTGAATTCCACATCTAATTTCCCCCAACCATATTTCAAACATGTTTTGAATGTATTACTTTGATAACGCTCTTCATGTGTGAGAGGGCGCTGTAGTGAATATTTTTGTTCGGTTGGATTGAGTTCGACAGACGAGATGTGGTCTCCAGATAGGGTAGTTGGCATTCAAAGTTTTGAAGCTCAAGCTCAATCTGTCACTTTTAGAATAGTACATTCACATTCATTTTATTACTCTTTTTGACGGGGAAGATGAGGGGGGGGGGGGGTTAAGAGTTCACGCATCCAGTTATGCTTGATACTTTCTAACGTCACACCTAGGCCATTAGGGTGTCGTACAGCACCACTCTCTCTCTCTCTCTTGTGTATGACTTTTCAAAATACATACACAACTGCATCAAAACTGAAGTATGTTTTTTTAAATGAGAGATGGGGGGCGGGGGCTATTCCATTAACCTCCGCGATATTATGTAGCGGTCATTGTGATCGAAGGGTATCTTAAAGAGAAGGTTGAGTTCTGGGGACTCGGAGAGGTACAAAACAATTTTTGAGCGTTATCATTGTTATTATGCAAGTATGGAAGAACATGAGAGAGAAAATGTTCCCCGAAAATCATGACTCTTCAAATGCCTTCATATTCTAAATATGGCAAGTAAAAGCTTAATAATGAGGCCCGATTTTTATGCCACATGTTTGTGTAGTCCCATATACACCTTTCTGTGTACAGTGCTTGTAACTTTACCAAGACCAATTTCTTATCATTTTGATGCCTCCAGAACCTTGCTGTTCACACCAATACTTATATGGTACATGGTCAACTTTTTCTGATCGATTATTACACGGTTTCTTTCACAATTCAATCGCATGACCAAAACTCAACTTTATCTTTATTCCTCAAAGGCTATTGCACTTAAATTGACATTAGTAAAAAAAAAAAAAAAAAAAAAAAAAAAAAGATTATTTATTTGGTATGTTTCGCATCATTCAATAAGATGAGGGAACATGACCTTCATTTAAATGAGCCACTTTCTAATGTGTCGGGCACATGGAAGCATTTAGTCGAAAGGGTTCAACGCGCAAGACAGGAAGTCGATCGTAAAGCATGTTTCGATTTTATGATTTGTCATCTTGTATAAACATCTGTTAATGTGTTAATTAATTCCACTCGGAACATTTCTACAGGTGATTACGATGGAATCACTTCGAATCATTTTAATTTGTTTTTTTTCTCTTTTTTCTGTTTTTTTCTTCTTTAAAAAAAAAATTTTATTGGATAAAAACTAACATCTGTGTCTAAAGAAAATGCGGTTTTAAAAGTAATTGATGGATCAAGTGCCCACCTGGAAATCGTATTTATTATTTTTTATACCGAAACATATTAATTTGTATCTTTGCAAAAGGCGGACTGTATGACACGTTTTTGTTAAACATGTGATCCTTTTTAATAGTTCTTGCGCATCTTTTGTCACCAAGTTTACCCTCTGTTCCGTGGTTTTGTGATTTTATAGCGGCCCTAATCGTTAATAGAATTAATTTTTATAGCCTCATTTTTTGTTTTATATTTGTTCAAATGCTAAATCATGTACACGATCGCATCTGCCTTGGTTGTACTTGAATGAATACATGAATATTGTCACCAGATACAACCGCATAATTAATTCATATTCGTTTACTCCCTGCATGTTCATTCCTTCGTTAAACTTTGTGTATATCTTTAATATAACAGACTACATCCTGTAGCCTAAGAGGTGAATAATAATTTTTTTAAATTCGAATTGATGAAATGTTTTGTCTTTTTGTTATTTTTAGCCAACAAATTATGTGGAGAAGAATTGGATGGAGGAAGAATACAGCGGAGGATGCTACATGGGAGCCACGCCTCCTGGTGTACTGTCCATATATGGCAAGTAAGTCACTCCCCTTATAGTGGGGATTGTACATGGGAGCCACGCCCCTGGTGTACTGTTCATTTATATATATATATATGACAAGTAAGCACGCCCCTATAGCGGGGATGGTACATGGGAACCATGCCCCCTGCTGTACTATCCATATCAGTATTGCAATTAAGTCATCCCTTATATAATAGATTGTTAATAGTCATGGTCAGCGTTTATTTCAAAATGTATATTATAAGCATGTAGACCACTGAATACCTAAATTAGGAATTGGAATCAATATATTTACCAATTGACACAACGAGGGGATGAAATTGAGTTCAAAACATGAACATGAAACTGTTGGGTGGGTTTAATGAAAAGGTACAGCTCTGGAGTCATGGCAAAATGGAAGTTCGTGGTCATATGATAATTATTTTATGAAGAATATGTGACAGAATTTTAGAGTGAGTTTTTTAAATCAAATTTCATAATATTGCACTTCAAGTTATGGAGCGCTACTACTAGAGCTTCTTTGGAGCAGGCTCGTTGAGAGAAGGTTTTTTTCTCTGTAGGATGACTTCTATTCTTTCTTTTTGCTGCTTGCTTTTTTGGGGAAAGATTTTCACCAAATATTCAACTTCAAAAGTCGGCAAATTTAGTTTGACCCCACCCTTCCTCAAAATGGTCTTGCATCAGCCCCCCCCCCCCCCTCGCCCTTACTTCTATGGTGTAAGTGGATCTATTATGACAGTTTTATATGTTTTTATTGACAGGGTGATGAGAGAGCCAGCAGGTCAGGTGTACTTTGCCGGGACTGAAACGGCCAACCATTGGTCTGGTTACATGGAAGGAGCCGTCCAGGCTGGGGAGAGGGCAGCCAGAGAGGTAAGGGATTACAGGGATGATGATGATGATGATGATGATGATGATGATGATGATGATGATGGTGATGATGGTGATGATGATGATGATGATGATGATGAAGATGATGATGATGATAATGATGATGATGATGATGATGATGATGATGATGATGATGATGAAGATGATGATGATGAATATGAAGATGATGATGATGAAGAAGAAGAAGAAGTAGAAGAAAAAGAAGAAGATGAAGAAGAAGAAGAAGAAGAAGAAGAGGAAGAGGAGGAGGAGGAGGCGAAGAAGGAAAATGAAAAGGAAGCGGAATAGGAAGAACAGAAGGAATAGTATAGTGGGAATGAGTTGGATGAAGGGGGGGGGGACAGAAGGGAAGGAGGCTCGCAGAAGGGAGGGGAAGAGGAGGGACAGGAGGAAGAATAAAAGAGTAAGAGGAGCAGGAGTAGCATGAACAAGGAGAGGAGGGAACGGGGATGGGGGAAGAAAGTACAAACTCATAGACTTTAGAAGATGATGGAGATATTGAGGGTTGTAGTGATGATGATGAATATTTGGATAAGAAAAAAATGAGGTGATGAGAAGGAAAATGACGAAAATGACATGAACGAAAAAGGTGGTGATCATGATCATGATCGTGATGATAACGACGGTGATTATGTATTTGTTAACGAGTATAACAATGGAAGAAACGATGGTTTCGTGGTTGATGAAGATGATGATGATGGTGGTGATGATGATGAGGACGACGATTTGTTTTTCTCTTATCCTCAAGCGAGGTTTTCATTTCCATAATTTCAATACATATTTACATTAATTACTCAATGATTGAGTGAAAGATAACATATAGGCTAAATATTAAAGTATATTCAACAACTCTTCCAGTTTAGTATAATGATGAGGACGATGATGAATATAATGATGTCGACGACGGTGTTGTTGTTGAAGATGATGATGATGATGATGATGATGATGATGACGACAACGATGATTATAATGATGACGACGACGATGAAGATGAAAATGAAGATGATGGAGATATCTGGAAGTTCTTCAAGATTATTCTTTCATAATAATCTGTATTCATATCGGAAAGGATAGTAAAGTATTATTTCAACTTCATTTTGTTTCTAGGTTCTCCACGCTCAGGGCAAGATAAAGAAGCAAGATATCTGGCAAGTGGAGCCTGACAATCCAGTAAGTTGAAATTTAATTTAATTTAATATTACTTTCTAGTTTGTCTCAAGTTTGTCTACTCACACATTTGAAGAAGAAATATTATCACCTGTTTAAGCTAGGCAATATTTAATGAGTAGAAGAGACATGTTTCTAAAAAAAAAAAAAAAACCTAATCCTAACACTAAATCTACCTGATAGACACGGCACTATAGGCAAAACATTGTGTGCAAATAATCTACCTTTGCTATATACATTACGTTATTGGCGATTTATTTAGAAACATGTCGCTACTACTGATTAAATAATCAAATCCTTTGGCCCGAATTCACAAAGGATGTTTGTCGACAAACCTAGGTTAATGTGCGTCATGTGACGCGTTTCGACGCGTTTCAGGCCAAGGATTGACCTTGGGCTGCAACGCATCGAAACGCGTCGTCTTATGTTTAAAGCATGCTATCATTCGCTAGTCTTACCGATGGGGTCGCCCTGTTGATATGGAATTAAATTTCAAACAATGAATGAGACATATATTCGGTTAAAGCCCATATTATGGAATGCCTCTAAATAGTCTTGGAATGCAAAGATTGCAAATTACCTTGTTTATCACATTTCTTTGTTCAGTCGAGAAAAAAAATCATTACCATTGTTACTGGTGTGTATCATTTTCCTTTCGGTAGTTTTCCCTTCATCATCATTGTATGAAGTGCCGGTTCATTACATTGTCTGCAATACTGAGATGTGTAACAGATACCTTCATTAAATACATATACCTGCTCTATAAAATGATATACTGCACAAAGAGTCGTAAATCATGGGCATGCGAGTGAAAGCCAAGCCAAGCGTTACCATGGCAACATCCTCTCGTGTCTGCATGATTTTCACTTTTATGGATGCAAGATCGTGACACAGTGACATTTATATGTGTTTGGAGCTTGTTATTAGGCTTTTGAAACGACCGTTGCCATGTTTCACTCTTCGAAGTATGTTTAATTGAGAGGTCGCCCTCTCATGATGAATTCTTGAAAACGTTTTTTTTTCTCTTTCCCCTCCATGTCTCGGTTCAAATTTGCGACCGCATTTTTTTCCCTCTCATATTCTGCTTCGAGATTCATCATTTTGATGTCGTTCGAAACATATTCTAAAAGGTCCATCGTTTTAGTTTTGTATTCTGAGTTTGTAAATTGCGGTTTTCATGGCTAATGTCTCAGTGCAACAGTTTCTTCAACGAAATGTTTTCTTAAAATCCCAGTCAAGTTTAGTAGATTCAATTTATATTTTATTTTAATGTAAGATATCACCCGTGGGTATTTATTTTTTGGGCCAGTATTTCTGACTATCATCGAGCACTCTGTTTGTTTAAATTGTTTTAAGGCCAATAAGAAAAGAAATACAAAATCAGTACAGAAGGCCAGGTACAGTACGCCCCACCCATCTGCCCCCATCCTATTTATCAATTTCTGCTGGATACGCCTCAGCAATATTACTTACAAACCCCTCGAAAATGCCTCGGTATCATCGAAACCTTACTCTGTCGAAGCTTGGGAATCTCTTCTAGAATACACTCATGGAATTAATGATGTAAACAATTCTAGTTTGGAGAACCTTACGGAACTCCAGCTAAATTAACAGCAGTGGAACTACATCTAAGCCTTACACCTGCCCGTTCCATCCTTCTTCCAACTTTCTCGTGTTTTTCCTCTTTATTTTGTCTTTTGTTCCTTTTATCCTGTTTTGGGCAATTTGGTTCGCTAATGGCCTGCCTGTGTGGATAGTGATTTTCTTTTTCGATGCTAAAATCACATGGTTCTTAAAGTCTCTACTCACGCCTTGTGTGATTCGTTTTGAATCGGTTCATAAATGGTTACGAAAATGTCGAAAATGTCAGTTTTCATGAATGACTACGAAACTCTCTAACATTCCCTTAATTTCATAATTTTCTCTTAAGTTTGCGTTGTTGTCTGTTAGATAGGATATATTTTGTTATAATTGCAACTTGGTTGCCTTTATTCTGCAATTTAAAACAACAAAAAATCGCTTTCAACTTTTCTTTTTTGCTTCCAATTACAAAGCAAATACACTTTAATAGTTCATGGTGGCTTAACAAAAAACAAAATAATTTCCAATATATATTTTATTAAGGATAATATAAAGAAGAAGCATACTAATGATCATGAATTTGAAATATCAACAGAGACATGTTTTTTTTAATGTAAATCTACGTTTAAAATAAATAAATCCCCCTTTTTTTAAGGAGGGTATCTTTCACAGTATTCTTAATCCCTTCTCGCAAATCCCTAGTATGTCCAGTAATGATGTAATTCTGTAGATAGTTGCGATTCGGACAGTCCACTAACCCCTAGCAAATCCTTGTCAGAATTCATATATTAAGGGCTCTCGTTGAGGTTTTAGTTTCAAGACGTTCCTCTGCTCGTGGTTAGCTAATTTTACATACGTCACTTTTTACCCCTCACGACAAAACCTCAAATCAGTAAGAATTTCTTCTCTAAACAAGATCATAGTCTTTAGGTCTTGACGAAGCTTTAATGTAGCTTCGGACATAGATGGGTTACTGGAGAGGGGGGCAAGTGTTGGTGTTGCAGTGGGAAGCAGGGGGATTTAAGGTGATGATGTTTCGATTTGACCAAGATGAGGGGGTATTCCACCATTCCTCAGTGACGAGTCACACCCATTTACGGATTGTAAAGTTGAGAAGTTTGTATATGATTTGTGATTGTATTTAATCTCGATTGACCTCTATTGGACGGCCCAGTTCCCCCTCCCTCCCTCCTCAACTCCTGACCACTTGAAGTAAATGCAAGATATTATTCAACAGGCGGGGAATGTGGTATACTTCCATGGATATAGAGGAATACAAACTTTCTCTCCATGAAACTGCTCGTTGCGTTAAAAGAATGTCAGAGATAGTTTGAATGACATTGACAGCCTCGAACAAGTTTTTCACTTTACACGTAGCCCTTCGATGACCCAATGGTTTAGGAAAAGGCGATAGATCCGAGGATTTAGGGGAAGCCCCCGTGGTTTATGTAATTAGCCTAAGACAGAAAGGTAGATAATTCGGACAGGCCAAGTTTAAGTCCCTCTTCATCTCTTGGTTTATTTTCCAACGAAGGTCATATTTGTCACTCAAGTCAGAAACCAGTGAGTGGTAGGCTGAACTTCTCTCTCTCTCTCTCTCTCTCTCTCTCTCTCTCTCTCTCTCTCTCTCTCTCTCTCTCTCTCTCTCTCTCTATATATATATATATATATCTCCCTCTACATAATGGAGTATCTAGTTATTACAAAATAATAGAGAGGTCCCGGATTCGATCTTCGTGCAGTACTGACGTCCTTGGACAAGAATATACCCTTTTGACTTTCTCGACCTAGATAAGATTGGGTAAGTAAGTAATAATGCTGGGGGAACAACTAATTGCAGCTCCCTCTAGAAGACCACAACCTGGGTAAACAAAACCACATTATCCTGATTACATGATTATTTGTGTGTCTTTTCTTTAACCAGGATTGGCCCTACACCAAATTCGAGATGAGCTTCTTAGAGAGAATGGCGCCCTCTATCAGTGGTCTGCTTGGCTGTGTCGGTACGTGTGCAACAGGTCTCCTTGTCGCCGGCCTGGGCGTTATGTACAACGACCAAATCCGAAGTTTCCTTGGAAAGTAAGACAAATTTTCCTACGGAATTGGGAGAAAAAGCTGAATGACAATTTAAAGCTGGGTGGTGAATAATGACTTCAAAATACATCAAACTATGATATTCGATTCAATTTCAGTTCAAATAAAACAAACATTTACTTTCATCTATAATTTTTATTTTCATCTATAATTGTTATTTTCATCTATAATTGTTATTTTCATATTGTTATTTTCATCTATAATAAGACCGTATTCATAGTCATATAAGCATGAATCAAGAGCATGGTTACATCATTAAATTTGATATACCTCCTTGATAAGATGTAGGAAGAAGGCACATATCCCTTTAATCAAGAGCTTATATGATTTAGATACACTTGTGCACACAATGTGGGTTATATACAATTCTTTCCCTTTATTGAAAGTAGTGGTATTGCATTTATAAGTCACATATCCCTCATCATTTGCAAAGTATTTTTGCATAAGGCAATAACATAATCGTGACATTTAGAGTTAAAAAACACACTGCTTGTCGAATTAAAATGGTCGAATGGTCCAGGATTACTTATTGCAAAAGAAAACAATTATGATGATTAGTAGTATTATGGATGTTGCTGTTAATTACATTTCGGAGTAAATTCCATTGATTTAGTCAAGTTGTTCTTGTTATGTTACACACATTAAAGGTAATACAAAGTTTTGGTATGGGGTCATGAATCTTGTTCAAATGAAGATATTGGTAGCAAATGCGATCCTACAATATTCAGTGACCGTTGTCGCGGTTGAAATCGGGTCTAAAGATATGACATTGTAAATAATAAACTCTTTATGTTGTATAGCTCCCTCTCAAGGTCAAGATATTAATTAAGCTATAAAACAATGTTTCTTGACTAAAATCGACCGATTAGCTATTCCATTGTACGGCGGTAGGCGCTATTTGAAATTTATCAAAATTTACCGGGAGCACCGGTAAATTTTTATATTCAATTTTTTTCTCGAAAGCTGAAGCGTTTTAGGGGCTAAATTTTCTGGTGCTTATAATACATCCACAGGGGTATGCAAATATATCAAAATTGTTAAGAATCACTATCCACCAATTTTCGAAATTTCCCAAAACTTTGTATTACCATTAATAATAGTCTCATAAATTGTTTGTTAAATGTCTCTGAAATAAAATTTATATAATTATTAGGAAGGAAAAGGTTACACGAGTTTATTTACGTTTTCGTGGTGACATACAAATACGATCAGTTGTATTTGATAATTGTGACTTTCATTTTGTACATAGTATATGTAGCAAATTTTGAATATATTTTAAAAGAAATGATACTGCCATAAAACGAATTTTTATAAGATGAAGAGTGACAACTGTGAATTAAAGACAAATATACTGTTTACTATTTACTATATTAGCTTTCGTACTGTTTATAAATCTTGGTGAACCAAGAATCAGATTTGCTTTCGCGCTCTTTAGAATTGTTGTGGTTTATGGTTAACATTACATACATGTTGCTGTTTAATGATATCAATGTACACTGTAGGTAGTTCACAATGTTTGATATACGTACATCATTATTGAGTGCCTGTGGAATTATTCAAAACTCAGGTTACACAAGTCTTATATACAGATTCAGTAGATTATTTGAAGAATGGCCGCACAATTTAAAAACATGTACCTCATTTTAACGGGAAAAGTAATTATGCTATTTCTCTGTTGCATAATAGTTTGATTTGATAAAGGACTAGGTTTAAAGAAAATATCAAGTTCTTGTCCTGGAATTACATTGCGAAACACATTGTCTTGAAGCAATTGAGTGAGGTTGATGATGATGTTATAATTAGGAAATGGTGTATACTGTGAGGTTTTGGAATAAACAAATGATTTACTCAATCGTGGTTAAAAGTGTACTATACACGTAAATTTGTTTATGGGTCTACACACGTCATTTGCCTGACTTTTTAGTAAAACTTTCCACCTATTTTTAGTCAAAATTTGAATATGAGTGCACTTTTAAGGGGATATATCTATCAAATGGAATTTAAAAAAAACGATAGTGCTATAGTACTTTTACTTCGAGAAAATTTTAAGTGAGGGAATGTAAATTTTGTATATAAAATAGTAAATAGAAGATTATACTGAAATGCCCCTTATAACTTGAATATAGACATGTATAAAATATTCAATTATAAGCTGAAAATAAGAGGTAATGATAAATGTAAACAAAGTGTAGTTAAATATGATACAATTTAATATATGGGCTATATAATTGACTTATGTACACTGTTGCTCATAACGGTGGAATATTTTTTTTTTATCCCAATTTATGGAATTATTTTAAAAATAATTTAAAAATACTAGATCTAGATAATAGTATACAGTCTCAGATTTTATTGAATAATAATTTGCCAATATGTGTTTTGCGTGACTGCTAAAGCATGTATATTATGCTACTATGTTTATTAACTAGGGGACCTATGCCCTTAAGTCATAAATGACAGTAATGAGGATTAATGCCTCACAAAAGGGCACTAATATAGCACATCGACACGGTGTTGATCCTGGGGCCTCACAGTTACGAGGCCATTGCTTTGTCACTGAACCATGACTGTACGCAGCGGGGGCTATGGTAGGGGGCAGTTTCCATAAATTAAAAAAAAAACAGAAAATGCAATAAATTTTCAATAATTTATTGCATTCTACCCCGGTCCCCAACATAAAAAATCTCCTGTGTGCCCATGCCTTGAGCCATAATGCACGGCCGTCCAGAGGATTTTTTTATGTTGGGGACCGAGGTAGAATGCAATAAATTATTGAATATTTATTGCATTTTCTGTTTTTTTTTTAATTTATGGAAACTGCCCCCTACCATAGCCCCCGCTGCGTACAGTCATGGTTCAGTGACAAAGCAATGGCCTCGTAACTGTGAGGCCCCAGGATCAACACCGTGTCGATGTGCTATATCAGAGCCCTTTTGTGAGGCATTAATCATCATTACTGTCATTTATGACTTAAGGGCATAGGTCCCCTAGTTGATAAACATAGTAGCATAATATACATGCTTTAGCAGTCACGCAAAACACATATTGGCAAATTAATATTCAATAAAATCTGAGACTGTATACTATTATCTAGATCTAGTATTTTTAAATTATTTTTAAAATAATTCCATACATTGGGATAAAAAAAAATATTCCACCGTTATGAGCAACAGTGTATATGAAAAAACCGCGTGATGAATATTGATTCATAACTTTATAAGGAAATCAAAGTTTGATAAGACTTTTTATGTAATATATTTGTCTAATATATTGAAGACGTTTGTAATTGCGATTATTGTGATGTTTGTATATGGCGATGATAGTATAGGTATGTTGACAAATTATCATATTATGAAATAACCGCTGAAACATTCATCTTTAACAACTGCGTAAATGCATATTTAATCATGCTGAATTGTGTATTAATTTTACAAAATCATTTTTTTTTTCACTGGCGTTTTATCAAGCTGCCTATATAACTTCATGCCATTTATATTTTCATCATTTTGTTCCCGTAAAAAAGATTTAAAATCATAAATCTGTATGTGTTTGACTTGATAATGCTTACATGTTTTGATTTGGAGAATGGCCAAACTTGCGTCGTCCAATTGCCGCTGCCATCAGAGAAAGTATTAAAATAAAATTGACTACACCGATTCGATTCCTTTTGAATTACACGTTGAAGTTGTGATTGGCTGAGATGTGATCAGATCTGTTCAACGATGACGATGACGACGTGAAGATGATTATAATGGTAATACTGAAAATTATGATGAATGTGGTGTGATAGTGTATCTGATGATGATTATTATGATGGTGATGAAGATGATGATGGTGATGATGATGGTATTAATGGTGGTCATGAGGCTGAGAATGATGACGATGAGAATGAGGATGATGATGATGATGGTGATGATGACGATGGGGGTAATGAGGATGATGATGATGATGATGATGATGATGATGATGATGGTTATGATGATTATGGGGGTAATGAGGATAAGGATGATGATGAAGATGATGATGATGAAGAAGATGATGATGATGATGATGAAGACAATGATGATGACGATGATGATGGTGTTCATGATGGTGTCGATGATGGTGTCGATGATGGTGATAATGATGATGAAAATGATGATGGTGATAATGATAAAGATAATGATGATGATGATGATGATGGTGGTAACGATGGTGATGATGACGATGGTGACGATAACAATGATGGTGATTTTGATGAGGAAGGTGATTATCATAACAAAATTGACGTGGTAGTGTTAGTCGTGATGGTGATAGTGGTGGTGACTTTGAGGATGATGATGACGATGCTGAAAATGGTGCTAATAATGACGATGAGGCTGAGAAAGATAACGATGATTCTCTTATTATGTAAATGTTGGTTTAAAAAATGTTAAAATATATTATGATAAATTATTTGTTTAATAATAAAAATATGTTAGGCTGAAATAGGAGCCAGGATCATGACGAGGACACAAATCTGAGAATAAGAGAAACAATGGTAATTGCTAACCTTCTTAACAAAATTACAGTGCAATAAAACTATTTTCCTCGATTCTTTTGACATCACTATCGCCAGTAACAATCAATCGCTTATATCAATGGAATGAAGGAGAGTTTTTGATTGAGGAATAACTTTACCATCGTATGTACCGAAAACATGCCTTGACGGATAATGTGATTCCCGTATACATTTATTTGAACACATACAATTCAGGTCTGTCCAAAATAGTATTCAGTTTTATTTAAATGTGGCTCGCTCGAACGCTTTCAAATTTCATAGTAGCAGAAAGTACGAAGCTCAGTAAATTTATATCTTTTAAGGTAAAATAACAAGTAATTAGCCGATTACAAACAATCTTTTCTCCCATTGTTAAAATACGGGGTCTTTTCAAAATTATATTTTTTCTTCCTCGAAGTTAGTGTGGATTCGGGTTGGGGGTAACGAGTACGGCGGCTTTAGAGGTTACAGAAGCGATCTGCACCCATCAAGGGTCTCATACATGCTTCCTACCCCCAGGGTTGCCGGGGTGACGATGGGACCTGTCCACGCCTCGTAATCGCCCTCCCCTGCCACCTAGTCGCCGATGTGTTGCCCTTGTTGAGATATGACCGGGCTATTTTGG